CTTCCAGAGAACGTCTGGGAAGCTTCTCAGAGGGCTGTGGAGGCCTTCTGAGCCTCTGGGAAGCCACGCCCCCCTCTGCCTCCCCCCCTGAGCTCGCCGCCAAGATGTGGACACGATCGGGCCCCCTGGGGCCCAAACGTGCCCATATCCACCGCCTCAGAGGCATCAAGGAGAAAAGAAACCCTAACCCTATATCACGATGAAGGCGTAGCCTCACTGAGGTCCCCGTCTTCGCACTAGGAATCATACATCTGGGCGGTCCGGTTCGATACATCTGCAGAAAAGACCCTCTGTCCCTGATGTTCCTGGCCCGCCTGACTCAGGTCCTCTCCCAAAGGGTTAGGGTCGGGGGCGGACAGAACCCCCAACAGTCACGCGTGGATTAGTGAATTGTCCGTGTTCGGTTCTCGAGATGGCGCCGTGGCCGCTATTTTCCAGGCCTGCGCCCGCCAGGTTTGGGCCCCAGGTCGTTTTCACTAAACCACGTTTTACTAAAGTCAAGGGCATAAAAAACGCCCCTACCCTGCTTTACGAGGCGCTGTGCGCTGAAACTCCTGTGGGCCGACAGGGGAAACCCTTCGTGATGTGCCGCGTCCTGGCGGCTCTAGGCTTTGGGGGTTCCCAGGAGGTTTACAGACCACGCACTTGTAATCCAGGGTAGGGTCGTTTTTTCATCCCTCAATAAAGGGGGGTCTGTCCATCCCCGATAGGGGTCCTCGTTTGGTCCATCGCAGAGGGCACCAGGGCATCGGCGCCCCAGGCGGTGGGCACGGAGAGATCCACGCCTCGTGGGAGAGCCAGCAGGAGGGTTCCCCGGCCCGTGGGGTGTCGCCCACGCAGCTGCCGTCGTTCGAGGAGGTCCTGGCCAGGCGCGGGGTCCTTGCCAACCGTCGACGCGTCTCGCAGTCCTCACGTCGGGCATGTCCCGCTACAGGAGGAAGGATTCAAAATCTGGAGACATAGTCTGGGGACGATTTGTTTTGAGTATTTCTGACTTTTGTGGAGTATGTTTGACTACACTTCATTTGTCCTCCAACATCCGCCTGTAGGAGGACGTGCCCGACCTAACGCAGTCCCAACCCGCCCCTGCAGGGGCGATCCCAGGCGGGTTGCCCTGATCAGGGGAAGCGCAGGAGCCTGCAGCGGAAGAATCAGGAGGAGAAGGGACACAAAGGCACAAGGAATGGTCGATTTCAACGATACGAGGGCATGACAAAATACGGGCAGCCCTGGGATTTGTGCATATTTCTTTGCGTTGGTGTGTGTGTGTGTTGGTGTGTGTGTTGGTGTGTGTGTGTGTGTTGGTGTGTGTGTGTGTTGGTGTGTGTGTGTGTTGGTGTGTGTGTGTGTTGGTGTGTGTGTGTGTGTTGGTGTGTGTGTGCGTGTGTGTGTGCGTGTGTGTCCCAGGGCCCTTTCAGCAGAGGAAGACAGGGGCCGTCGCGGATCTGTCGCTCTGGGCGCCTGCTTTTGCGGCCGCCGGGCATTGCAGGGGTACATGCAGCGGCGGAACCGGCGTCCTCACGACGCTGGTGGTTCTCTGCCTGCTTCTTCGGGGGCGGCCGAGAGGGGTGGTGACTGGAGGGGGGGTGATAGCATGGCGGGGGCCATGATGTCTCTCCAGGTTTCACTGCGTCTCTAGGACGCGCACGCGCCGCCGGCCCGATGTGCGGCCCCCACTCTCGGACGACCCCCGGGCTGGACGCCCCCGACCTCGGCCTGCGCCTGATCGCGTTTGGAAGTCTCTTGGATCTGAGCTGTCAGAGCCGCGGCCTGGTGGCGAAGCCCCGATGCCGGAGGGCATGACCCACTGCGCCGCCTCGTCGTTGGTTCGGAGGTGGATAGACACTCCTACCCTGACACGTCGATGAGTGAATTGGTCGTTTTCGGTTCGCGAGAGGTCGTCGCGGCCGTCATTTTTGCGGGTTCGGGTCCGTCGGTTTCGGTCCTAGGCCGTTTTCACTAAAGGGAGGTTTACTAAAGGGAGGTTTATCCACCGCCGATTGGTGAGCGCTGCGCGAGAGAGCCGTCTGCCCGCGGCAAGAAGCGGAAAGCAGTGGGGCACGCGCTGTTCCTTACAGTGGCATTGCCTGCCGCATTGTTGGCAAGCTCGGCTTGCGATTACCCATCGGTCGTTGAAAGTAGGTACTGTTGGATTCCCATCTTCCAATCTACTTTAAGCGCCTTCCTACTTCAATGATCTAGTGGCTCCACCTTTTCCATCCTCCTTGGGGGCCGGACGGAGGCCAATCTTCTTTCAACGCTTTCCTACTTCATGTTTCCACCTACTTCTTCCGATCGATGGGTAATGTGTCCTAGATGGATTGCGCTGCTGCTTGTGTGGAATGTGCTGCGCGGCTCGGGGGCCCAGCATAATTGGCAAGGCTCCCGACAGAGCTAGCCGGCAATCTCGCGGCAGATGGCTGCGGTTGGTGCAGCTGGTCAGCATGCGACTGCGCATGGTTGGCATGCTGGTCAGGTTGACCAGCTGTGCCACTGGAACGGGAGGCACACGTGGCTGCTGCTGAGGGTAGCCTGTGACGTAGACTGCGGAGAGCATTCTCGACGCATCTCGTCTTCCCACCAGCCCATCCAGGAGCGATGCCCAGGGGAGCTGGCCGTCTCGGGGGAGCTTGGCATCACTTGGAGAGCGCTGGGAGCCTCCGTGGGCCAGAGGCTTCTTCGATGCCTATCAGAGTCTCTCAGGATGTCTCGTGGGGCGTCTTGAGGGCCTCCAGGCGGCTCTTGGGGGCCTCTAGGTTCTCCATGGGGGCCTTTTGGAGGCCTCTCTTGGGTCGTCTTTGGAGCTTCTTGCTCTGGGGCTTCTTGGGGGCAGCTTGGGGAGCCTCTTGGGAGAGGGGCCCCCCCGGGACCCCCACCCCGGGGGAGAGATTCAAGGGAAGGGGCTTCTCTCGACTCGGTGACGACGTGCTTCGATGTTCAAAAGACGGGTGCTCCCCAAGGGGAGGAGTCGTAACTCTCGGACTCCTTTCTCGGATCCCCCCCTCCCAGGTGTGTGTGTGTGTGTTTGTGTGTGAGTGTGTGCGCATGCTGCGTGTGCACAAAAGGTGGTCAACTTACATTGCGCGGGTCCCGCCTTTGTATTCCTTTGACCCTCGATTGAGCCCCATCGGCGCGCTGGAGTACAAGCGCGTCTGTGTTGTACGTGTGTGTGAGTGTGTGTGAGTGTGTGTGAGTGTGAGTGTGTGTGAGTGAGTGTGTGTGTGTGTGTCTGTCTGTCTGTCTGTCTGTCTGTCTGTCTGTCTGTCTGTCTGTCTGTCTGTCTGTCTGTCTGTCTGTCTGTCTGTCTGTCTGTCTGTCTGTCTGTCTGTCTGTCTGTCTGTCTGTCTGTCTGTCTGTGTGTGCGTGTGTGTGCGTGTGTGTGTGTGTGTGTCAGTGTGTGTGTATGTGTCTGTGTGTCTGCGTGTGCCAATGCGTGTGCGTGTGGTTGGCAGCTCTCCCGAGATCAGTGTGCGTGTGTGGTTGTCAGCTCCCGAGGTACAGGTCCCAGGCGTACATCCGCCTGGTCTTCGCGGCGTTCGCTGCCAGCGAGGACCACGTCGTGAAGTGGAGAGAGTTCGAAGACCAGTGGCTGTGGCTGTATCCACACCGCCAGGACGAGTCGGGGAACTCCGTCAGGGCGACGTTCGAGGATCGGGGCGCACTCAGGGGGTCGGCGCTAATCCTCCTCCTCCTCCTCCCTCCTCCTCCTCCTCCTCCTCCTCCTCCGTCCTCCGTCCTCCTCCTCCTCCTCCTCCGCCTCCCTCCTCCCTCCTCCCTCCTCCTCCCTCCTCCCCCGACGGGAGCCATGCGGAGCCGACTCACCTTTCCCCCCCTTGGGCGGGGCTGGGATCGGGGCGAATCGCTCCAGAGCGTTCCGGCACGCTGTCGGGGCGTCTCGGAACGGCCGCGGCCCCCGCTGCATCCTCAGGGGAACAAAAAGTGGCATGAACCTAAAAACCCGGAGGTCCGCGCGGATTTCTCGGATCGGCGCTGGACCCCCTTCCCTGGCGCGCGGAGCGCGCCAGGGGCGGCGCCGGAGGCGCCGCTGGGGGGCCCCAGCGCCGATCCGAGAAATCCGCGCGGACCTCCGAGTTTTTGTGGTCATGACACTTTTTGTTCACCTAATCCTTCAGAACGCCGAATCTCAGAGATCCCCGAGTTTGTCACAGTCCGATGTTGTCCTGGTCCTGGCTTCGCCTTGTCTTCCTCCGCGGACCGGGGCGTGGGCCACTTCGTGCTGGCCCAGGTTCGGGACGCGGGTCAGGGCAGCCACAATTGGAGGAGCTGTGGTCCTTACCCCCCTGGGGGACCCATCGATTTCGACACCCCTCTCGACAGATCGTCGATGCGATGGGTTCCCCCAGGGGGTAAGGGCCACAGCTCCCCCAGTGATGGCTGGTCGGCGGGTTTGGCTGACCTGGGTTCTAGCGCTAGCCTGGATTAGTTCGTCCCCGACTCAGGAGATCGGAGGCGAGGGCGACACTTTGTCTTTCGAGAGCTTCTGTGCGTACTGCGAGAGGCCCAGCGGAGTACAGAAGTGGAGTAGTTGAGACAACGTCGTCGTCGTGCTGTCGGTTTTTGCTCTGGCGCTTCTGGAGGTTCTCGTCGCCACGGCTGGCCAGGGCCATCCGGGCGACGTAGACGGGGTCATCTTCACCGACATTGGCGCGTGCAGAATTCCGTGCAGACCACAAAAGGTCCTAGAACATTCCGTGCAGACCACAAAAGGTTCTTAGAACATTCCGTGCAGACCACAAAAGGTTCTTAGAACATTCTCTGGTAGGCTCACAGGCGAGCTGGGACGCCTCGCCACTGCTTGACTCGGAGGGGCCCCGCCAGGATCGGGATTGACACAACGTTGGCGTCTCCTCGGGAGGCCCCCCCTCTTGCTGCCCCCACCGCCTCCCCCGTGGGGCGCGCGCGCGGGAGGCACCCCGTCTTCGAGAGGCAGCTCCGGCAGGCCTTCTTCGGCCGCGTGTCCTCCGAGTTCTCGCCGCACTGACGGGGGGGCCCGCTTGGCGCGCGGGCGCCCGCCTCCGCCCCGCGCCGTCCGGGGAGGTCGGGGCGCGCGATCGGCGCGTGCCGCCCGTGGGAAGCAGGTAGCTTTGCACACCCGGGCCCCACGCGCGAGGAGGAAACCGTCCCAGAGCCTTCCTGAGGACGGTTTTGGAAGGGATATATGTGTGAAGGGGCCCCAGGACACACAAATAACTGCACACAAATAAGAATATTCTTTATTTTTTCAAATATTTTTGGGGTTTCTGTCTTCCCCTCCACTTCCCATAGTTTTGTATTTTTTGGGGGGAATCGACGATTCATTGTGTCTGTGTGTTTTTTCCCTCATGAATATGAGGAATCCCCCAGAATTCCCACAGCAACCTTCCAGAGTCAGTTTTTTTTCTGAAGGTTCTTAAGAGGAAGCCCTCCTGAAACCTTCCTGAGTGAGGTTTTGGAAGGTTTTGAAGAGGAATCTCCGGAGCACCTCCCAAAAACCTTCCTGCGGAAGGTTTTTTAGAAAGGCTTTTGGAAGGAAGTTCTCCCGACCCTTCCCGAGGAAGTTTTTTGTAAGGCTTGTTTTTGATAATCCGCCAAACAAATTGTAAACACCTTCCTGGAAAAGGTTTTCACTATGCTTGAGCTATAGATCTGTGTATATATATATATACACATACCTATAGCAAAACAACAAAAAACACGTCCTCCTGAAACCTTCATGAGGCAGGTTTTTGGGAGGATGTTGGAGGAGTCCTCCAAAAACCTTCCAGGGGAAGATTCTAGGAAAGTGTTTAGGAGGAGGCTTTCCTGAAACCTTCCAGAGGAAGTTTCCATGATGACTTTGGTGAAGCCTTCCCGAAACCTCCCTGAAAACATTTTTGTTGTACGGGTTTTAGGCGGGATCTTTCAAACAACCTTCCAAGAACCTTATTGAAGAAGGTTCCAGATAGTTTTTGTTTGAAGAAGCCTTCCTCAAACCTTCCAGAGGAAGGTCTTTGGAAGTTTTAGGCGAAATCCTCCAAGCACTTGTTGCACAACAACCTCCCCGAAGAAGGTTTTAGGATGGTTTGTAGGCGAAAGTCCTCGTAACACCATCCGGGGGACAGTTGTTTGTTGGACGGCGTTTGAAGGGATTCCTCAGACAAACAAAAACTTACAACAACCTGTTCCTGAGGTTCTGAGGAAGGTTTTAGGAAGGCTTTTGTGAGGAAGCCGTCCTCAAACCTTCCTGAGACAGGTTTTAGGAAGGTTCCCGGAAGGGAGACCTTGCAGAGGAAGGTTTGTGGAACGTTGATTCGAATACTCATCCAGAAACCTCCACCTCCCTCAGGAAGGTTCCAGGAAGGCTTCTTCCACGAGCACTTCCAACAACCTTCGTCTGGAAAGTGTGTTGGACGGTTTTGTTCGAAGGTTTGTGGAAGGTGTTTGGATTTGTTTTTGAAAGTAAGTTGGAAGGTGATCGGAAGTTTGTATTAGAAGGTGTTTGGAATGGTTAAGGTGTTTGAACGGTTTTGGGCACGCTTCTGGAATTTACGGGGTGATCTCGCTAAATGTTGATAGGTTGTTAGCAGTATGAAGGTTGTTAGAAACTGTTGTTCGGCTTTGGCACGATGGAACATGTTCAGAAGGTTGTCTTCCAACGGGGCTCTTCCTGCCGTGAACAGAATTCCTTACAGGAGCCTATGAAGATGGAACTTGGAGGGAGGGTTTGCTGCAGCATCGTTGCTGAGTCTTGGGCTTGCACTGGTCCCTCCTCCTCCTCATCTTCCTCCATCCTGCCCTCCGGCAGGCCGAAGGCAGTTGCCAACAGCTGTGAACAGACTTCGACGTCGGTGTCGCCGCAGACGTCGTCCGAAGACAACTTGACGGATCCACGAAATGTCAGTGATTGCGTCTTACATGCGCGCTACACTTTCCTTGTTTTCTGGGGTGTCATTACTACCTCCTGCCCTCATCATCGCCAGCATCAACATCATCACCACCACCAGCATCATCATCCTGCCTCCTGTCCCTCTTTGTCGCTCGTCCGCCTTCCTTGTCTTCCTCGTTTTCTTCATCTCCTGCCTCCACCTGCTCATTTCCCCTCCCCCTCCTTTTCCTCTTCGTCCTCCTCCCCTTCCCCCCTCTCTCTCCCGTACTTTCCCCCCCTTCGCTCCCCCGACCTCACACCCTTCCGTCTTCGTCGTCGCCTCTGCCGTCCCCGCGCGGCGGCTGCCGCCGACCAGGACGACGACGAGAACACGTGCCCCGCGCACACCCGCCAGGCGCATGCTGGGTCCCCCCCTCCGCGCACGCACGTCCACGCGTAAAGAATCCGCCGACTAGAAGTTGAGTCCCCCCTTTCGGGGGCCCGTGGTTGCGAGACACATGCGAAAACACATGTCCAGCGCATGCAGGCCGAGACGCATGTCGGAGACCCCGTTCCCCTCCGCACGCGCAGTCAAGTTCCGACGCCCGTTGGTCGACATCCTTTTGGTGCAGGGCCACAGGCCCGCCAAAGCAATGATAACCTCGGGCCAGAGCACTTACCCTTGGCATCGCCCGGACGTGTGCATGTCTCTAAGCGGGGACATTCGAGAAACACCTTGGGCCATCTTTCCAAACGCACGCACGAAGCCGGAAATTGCATTGGACGTCCGAGCGATGGCAAGCGCGGGGGGGGGAAATGAATGCCTAACGGCGGGCAGCTCGCATTCTAGTCTGGACAAGATTTGTGGTTGGGCGTCGTGCCCTTTGTTCGGCCGCGAGCTCGACGGGAAGCGGGAGAGAAAGGGCCTCTTCAGACAGCTTGGAACCCCCCCGGTCTATCAGTTGTCAGAGCCTGGCCCGAAGACGACGAAAATTGCTCAGAAGGCGCAAGGGTTTCTGCGAAGCCCCGCCGCCTTCCGAGAAGGCCTTCTCCTTATCATTTCCCCCCATCGCTCGCCGCCGAGATTCTGGGCAAAATCTGTTCTTGGGCATTCTGCCCTTTTTGTTCGTGCCCATGTCGGGCGTGCGGAGATTGGGGGCGGGGGGTCCCCACGCGTGCCCGTATAGGAAGAACACCGCTCCGCCCTCGGAGGCGCCTGTCACGGGGCGGCTGGGAGCTCACACCCCTCAGCACGGGCGCGGGCGGGGGCATGAACCCCCGAGCCGCCCTGGGGCGGGCGCCTGCGAGGGCGGGGAAAAGTCTACCTTGGCCCGTTCGTCGCCCCCTGGCGGGGCGCGGGGCGGCCTCCAGAGCCCCAGGCCCCCCGCGTCCTGCGGGAGGCACGACGCACGGAAGGCTTTGGCGAGCCCCGCGGCCTCGAGGGGGCTGGCTGGGCCCCGGGGCGTTCCGAGGACGACCCGGGCCGAGCGCCCGCAGAAAGGTCCAGGCCCAGACCTGTTCGCGCCGCAACAGAACATAGCGACACGAGGGTTTGTGCCGCGTTCGGTCTCCGGTGGCCCCCGTTGGGCCCCGGGACCGGCAAGCAGCAGCTCGGGATAAGGAGACGGCCCCAGGGAGGGAAAGGATAGGGATCTCCAGGGACCCCGTCTGGAACGAAACAGGGCAGCGCATGTCCGGGATATTTGTGTGGCGCTTCTGGGGGCTATCGCCGCCACGGCTGGACGCAGTTCGGAGAAGTCGCCAGCTCGGACCCCGGATAAGTCCGGGGATAACCCTGTGCCCCTGGTATTCGGCCCAGTGATAGTCAAGTTCGGTCTCGCCGCCCCCGCCCGCACACCAAAAATAAGTTGCCCGGGGATAGTGATGATGCAAAGGGCTATAAAAGGATTTTTTCCATCCGGGGGATGCGGTTATTCCAGCGGGCTGGCGTTTTCAATCCCGGTGCCGTGGCTCCCTATGGGGCCACGAAGCGCTGCGCTGGGCGGGGGGGACAAATGCGAACACCGCCACTGGGGCCTTCGGATGGGCGCCCCACGGGGCCACGAAGCGCTGACGCAGGCGAGCGCCGCCACTGGGGCCTTCGGTGGAGCTCCCTATCGGGCCACGAAGCGCCGTGCTGGGTGGGGGGAGCGCGTGCGGACGCCGCCACTGGGGCCTTCGGTGGAGCCCCGTGTGGGGCCACGAAGCGCTGTCCTGGGCAGCCTCCTCGCCTGGGGCCCGCAGCGCCGTCGAGGCCGCCCGCGGCCACGGGGCGCGCGATGCCCCCGTGCTCCTGCCCGTTTCGGTGCAGCCTGGCCCTGCTGCCAAGCCGATGCATCGCCGACGTGCTCGTGCAGAGGCTGCAGCAAGAGCTGAAGTGTCGGGGGTCGTGTCAACTGGGCAATCACGAGTTGAAGTGCGGGGGGGGGGTAATTTTGGAGGTCGGAGTAGGTGGCGTGCGTGCTCGTGCAAGCGTCTGCATGCAGCGGAGCAGGGGCTGAGGCGTCGGGGGCATTGGGTTCCGCTTGGGGGTCGTTGTTGGCCGCGGCGGCCACAGCAGGAGACGGTACGGCCCCACCCAGATGCACAGGGCACACGTAATTATCAAGATTCCTTCGTTTGGCTTGAACCTCTCCCTGGCTGCGTTCAACACCTTTGCGTTGCTGGTGTGCTCTCGTGTTGCCCAGTGTCGGACACCGAAACATCTACATGACCAGCGGCGGGTGGTCTTTTCACTCCCAGGGCTTCGTGAGGGTCGGGAGCGACGTCGGAGCGGCGTGATGTGTACTTGTTGCCTCCGTTCCCCCAGGGAGGCAACGGAACGTGTATACACCAGGATCCCGTATACACCAGGATCCGTTTTCTGGTGCAAATCTCAGTGTACGGCCAGAAAAAAGCGTCGGTATATATATATATATATATAGAGAGAGAGAGAGAGAGAGAGTTCGGCTCCCTACAGTGCTTCGCCGAGACCGCTGGTGATTTGGAAGACCTCTCTCCCTCGTACCCCAACCCACCGCGCAACAGGATATCGAGGAGCAGCGAATGCCATAAACATGAACTTTCGGAGGTCCGCGCGGATCTCTTGGTTCTGAGCTGGAACCCCCTCCCCGGCATGCGTAGTGCGGTAGGGGCGGCGCCGGGGGCGCCGCCAAG